CTCTAGAGTTTCCGCCTCTCTGGCTCGTTTTTCATTTTGAGCAGCTCCCTTCGAGTGGTTTTCATTTTTCTCTGTAATTTTTTTGTCTTCTCTTCGATCTTGTTGTAGTGGTTGAGAGATTGAGACTTGTGAAATCTTGTGTGAGTTCTTGATGTTGAGAAGTGGTTGTGTGCCACTATTTTGAGTTGGTGAACTGTGTGTTCCCTTTACTGTAGCTCGAAGTACTGCTGTTATTTTGGCCGATGTTTTTTTTATTGGATTTGAGCTTATTCCTTCATGGATGCTCAATGGGGATTATGCGATCTAACCAATCGCTGAATCTCGAGGCTTCAGCCGAAAAATCGCCCGTGTTCTTTTACTGCTTTGTTCAGATCTATAATTCTTGATTTTAGTCTTGCGATTTTTCGATGGTTTTAAAACATTCCTAGGTTCCTACAACATCTATTTGGGAGTTTTCGGCTAGGAAAGGAGATTCCCCACTTCTCAAAAATTTGTTGGCAACTAGGGACAGCATTATGCATGCTGCTGGGAATGGCCAAAAATGTGCTGGATAGAATGCAAAGCTGGAATCCTAGGCTTTGTTTTAGCGTCTCATAGGCATGCGAATACTTCAGCCAAAAGGAGAAAGAAAGACATGGGCTGCTAATGTTGGAGTTCCTTCACCACTCCAAAACACTCTTTCATTCTATGGTTAAGTGCCCAAGCAGAGCTCCTTGCAAAGGATAAGCTGACACACCTAAATATTGACAGAAATTGTGCTCTATGAGATACAGCAGCTAAAACCGATCATCACCTATTTTTTCAATGTTCGTTGAGCTCTGTCATTTGAAGGCAAATTAGATCTTAGCTTGGAATTACTTGTTCAATGTCTACAATTGAAAGTGCATTGAAGTAAATCAAAAAGGAGGCCCGAGGGACATCTTGACATAGTAAGGTGAAGAAAATTGCTCTTACAAGCACGGTTTACCACATATGGATGGCAAGGAATAGGCAGGAGCAGACCCAACCTTTTTGAGTTGTGGAGTCAAAAATTAATGTGCATTTTTTTAAAATAATATAAATTAATGAAAATAACTTAATACGTATTTTGACACCATTGAAAATGTCTTATAATTATATCATTATCAATATTGTTAAATGAATTTACATGTATAATTTTGTTCACCATGTCATTTATGGATGTTGAGATAACGAAGAATAAATCAAATTGGATATAAGAAGTAAATGAATTGAAATAAAATTCACATTTAATTAGGAAATACATGAAATTTAAATTTAATGAAAAAATAATTTGAAAATATTTCAAATTACGTTTAATTTGTAACAAGTTTAGAATTTTTGACGTCATTTTTTGTGTAAAATTTCTAAATAAAATGATGTAAATTATACTAAAAAATTTATCATGAAAAAAAATAATAAATGTTAATAAAATAATTGAATTTTTTTAAAAGAAAAACGAGTTAAACGCCTTTTTTAGTACGTATGTTTAACGCATGTTTAACTATTTTTAATATCTGTTTAGACAATTCGATATGACTATGATGTAATTTTCGAAACGAGCTTCTAGATGATGCAGGCGATTTGTGGATTCGCATAGTATACGATCATTGGCAAATTTTAGTAATTAGCATATTATCGAAATTTTTGAAATATTAATTTGGAACGGCCTACTTTGATACATTGTAACTTTTGCTATGGTTGATCATTTTTCAAGCCACTAAAAAGCGAAAAACTAGGTCATGAGCGCTTTGAAATGATATTGATAATGCAATGTTTTGACTTCATTTGGCATATATTAAAGTAGGTCATATAACAGTTAAAACAACTATTTTCTTATATAAAACAATAAAAAAAATCCAAAATTTGTGGGGTCATTTGACCCCACGACCCCATGTGGGTCCTACCCTGGGAATAGAAAGATTTTTGAAGACCTTATATTACACTTGGATAGCATAGTGAGATAGATCAAAACACGTGTATACAAACAATGTTTTTTCTGTATCCTCATGTTTTGGTCCATTTTGAGTCTCTAGAGTTAAGTCTCCAAATCTTATCGTTTGTACATCTTTTGATATTTGGTTTGTCCGATTATGTCCGATGTACTTGTACACGAGTTTTGATCAATAAAATCACAAGTTTCATGCTCGGATCTTCCACAAGTGCTATACTCAACAAAATAATACAGTGTTTTACCCAACAACATAGTATCTTCGACGATATGGCTTATCAGCTGCTCCTTTGAGTGGGATGAATAGACCTTTGAATCCTTACTAGTTCTTTTGCCACATCGATTATGTATGGCCTATCTGTTCCTCTATCAAGAGTGCATCTCAAAGCAAGTCTCGAGAAAGCATGCAATTGATGCTCTATTTGGCCTTTCTCCTCTAAAATTATTGGGTCCAAAGTTTCACTCAACTCATTCTTGTCATCGTGCTGCATATGCTTACAGCCAGTTAAGAGTTGAAGGAGAAACATTCCAAACATGTAGACATCAACCTTCTCCGTGATAATGCTTGTCGTTGCTAATTCGGGATCAAAATGTGCTTCCAACCCAACAATTTGGTTTACTTTTACCTGTGATTCTCCGGGAGGCAATGCTACGCAGAGTGAGAAATCGACAAGCTTAGCAATGCCATTATTGTCTATGAAAATGTTTTTTGCGCCTAAATCTCTATGGATGATAGGAGTTGGAAATGCGGTATGAAGATAAACAATAGTAGTTGCAATGTCTCTTGCAATTTTTAGACGATTACTCCAAGAGAGGGATAAACCAATAGTATTCCCAAATGTCCTTCCAGAAAGAAGGTTATAAAGAAGTCTATAATTGATCCCGATTTCATAGATGATAGCAGGTATTTTCAAATCTAAGCAGCAACCCAAGACCTTCAAAACATTTTTGTGGCAATTCATCAGCACCGTGATTACTATGTCGTTAACAGCACAGGACGCCCCAATGTCTCCAGAAAAATAGAATTTCTTCACCAGAATAGACCGTTGCTGAAAAATGCCGCTGATGTAATAGCCCGTTCCATCCCGCAAAATAAATCTGGAACCACAATCACTTAGACTAGGGAAATCGATGTTTGTTGCTTTATTGAGTTCTTCAACGGTGAAGACGCGATAAGGAATATTATACTTACCATTAGAGGAAGCAATAAGCCCTTCTAACAGTTTGCCTCCATTTTCAACATACCAAGGCGATAATTTCTCATTCCTCCTTTCCAAGAACCTTATCTTTCTTTTCACCCACTCCATGAATAATTGCAAACGAGGAAACATGCCAAGTCTTCAAAACTCAACGAAAAAAAAAATGTAAAAATAATAATTAGATGCTGCTGGAAGTTGAAGATTGTAGCAACTTTGAGGTTCTTAATAAAGATTTTCAATGACGCGAGACACAGGAAAGAGAAGTCCGAAACCAAAGACTGAATTATTGCCATTTTGTCTGTATGCTTGGAATGAAGTCTTTTAATTAAGGTAAAGTGACTGCAAATGGGTGATTGAAGCCACGACCGCCTCTAAATGAGTGAGACCCACATAACTATAAAATTTAAGATTTCAATAATTTATAAATCAAGAACATACTGGTATTTTTAGAATTAAATTTCATTTCATTTTTCCTAAATCGAAAATCTTTCACTCTTTTTCAACCACTCATTTTAAAAAAAAAAATATTCCACCTATTTTCATTTGGCCTCCATTTTTGGAAATAAAAATGGACAAAATAGTATTTTTCATTTTTTTAAATGAGTGGTTGAAAAAAAAAGGAAAAAATTTCAATTTACGTATAATATTATTTTATGGAAAATTGTGTGATTGAAATAGGAAAGAGAAAAATGAAATAAAATTTAATGGGGGCCAAACGAGGACTAAAAAGACTAGTATGTTCTTTGATTTATGCATGTGAAGTACTCTAATTTGGAATGTGATTGTTATAACTTGAATGAAGAGTGTTGAAAGATCTTTATCACCATGCAGAACATTATCGCTTTAAGAATAAAGACTTGAACTTTTGTATCAATCAAAATCAAATCTTCTGCATACTTGTACATATTTTTATATTTTTTTCCATCATGTACTTTTGGAGGCATAACATGCGATTTACCTCCTTCACGATGTTTCAGGACAGAGGCGGTGAGAGACCCTTAAGTTTGGGGTTCAACTTTTTTTTTTTTTTTTTTTTTTTTAAGTAAGCGGGTGGAAAATTCGTAGGTGTGAAGGTGAAGAGTTATGTGAAAAATAAAAAATGTCAGTAGCAGCCAACCTAGTATACTTTTGATGTAGATGATGAGGTGGGTTCCACTAACATCGACACTTTTTATTTAGCTATTAATAAATTAATATCAGTCTCCTTCCTTCTTCAAAGGAATGTTTAGAAATAAATATATTGTTAAATTTTTATGTGTAGCCAGATGTGCAATCTGAGCATGTTTGGCTAAGGTTAAAATGTTTGCTAACAAGTAAATAAGTTTAAAAATATACTCTTTTAATGGTAGATGTTGAAAATAAGTAATTCTTTTATATATAAAGTAAAAGGAAATAACATATAGTCCTTAAATGGAAAGAAAAATCAATCATACGAGGAAAATAATGGACCAATGCACGTTTTACTTATGAAAAAGAAAAGTTGTCATCCAAAACTCAGCTCCTCTCTTTTCATCTTTATATTCATATTTAATGACTCAAATGTAATCTTAAATCGGTGGTGTTAGTGGTACATAAAGATATACTTAAGCGTGTACACCCCTCTCACATGGGGTGTGAGATCCACCCGAATAAAAAATAATTACTCGGGTGGACCTCACACCCCATGTGAGGAGAGTGTACACCTTTAGGTACATTCCATTATGTACCACTAGATTAATTCATCTTAAATATGTATGGAGAAACTATAAAGATTTATTATTTAAAGAAATTAAAATATTGTACCAATAAATTAAACTTAAATTAAGTAAAACATCTCTAAAATTTAGTTGTAGTAATATGTGGTCCTACTGATTCCTAGATAAATAATGCAAGAAAAAAGGTCATGTAGAATTTGTTACTATGTATTACTGATTACAAGTTTTTTGAAATGTGAATATGTTGTTTTTATATCATTACTAACTTTTACTATATTCAAGTGTTCGTAGTCGCTTATAAATTTAAGGATATTCAATATGAAATCAATAAAGAGAAGATAACATGACTTCTGAAGAAAGTGTTATCGGTTACTTCAATGTTGGATTGAAAATGTAATATGGCAAAAGAATGTCAAATCTTTGAAGTTATTTTTTGACTTCTTGAAGGGTTCAAACTATGTATTGCCGTCCCATCTATTGCACCGAGAAAGTTAGCCAATAGAAGGATACAACTCCGCTAAAATTGCAATTTTGTCCATAGAATGGTACCGAGAAAAATTAACACCAATTCTGCACAATTTAAGAATCAGTTTAATTTATGTTGAGAGATAAAACTAACACATAAGGAATATCGATTGCTAACATAATATAAGCACCAGCTATAAACAAGTAATTGAAGATTAAAGTATGTTAACAATAATGAATTAATTCAAGGAAGTTGTTTGTTTTGATTGTGTCAGTAGATAATTATAATTAGTTAAAATTTGCTTTAAAAATTATTATTTTATTTTTCTTGGAATAGAGCTAGGTATAATTAAAATATAAATAAGTATATAATAAGTCCTCATTGGAATCATATTGTATTAATCACTTTGTTATTTGTAACTATGCATCCACTTACAAAATAAAATCGACAACAGAACTACTTTTATGTTTGATTGTGAACTGGAATGTAATTATAACCTAAAAGTAAACATAAATTTTATATAATAAAATAAATCACTTTAATAATTAAAAAGAGTCATTTTTAAATAATTACTTTAATTGAAAGTAAAAAGAACTTATAGCAATCATTTTTACTCCATACTTTTTATAAATCCAATTGTGGTCAATTATCATCAATAAAATGTCGACATTAATTTATGTCAAAAGTCTTGAATAATGATTCTCTAATTCTTTAATTAAATAACAATACGAAGTTTGTAGAATTAGAAAGACTTTTTTGAAGTGTTCTAATTGGGAACTTGAAATCTTTGTATGGAACTTTAATTGCAGTTACTTGAATTTATAGGTGATGAAGTTGTTAGTCGTGTTCGATTAGTATAAATTTCACACCCTTCTTCTCATAGTCAACTAAAATTTGACTTATATTTTCCACTGATACTTTCATATCCTACACGCAAAATTTCAAAATATTTACATCATCGGAACCCAAATCTTATCCTAAACTATATATTATTACATTCAAAACTTCATATATATGAATAAAATCATGAAAATAAGATCATAAGTTTACTTGCATTTAAAAGTAGATCTATTTGTACAAAAAACCGTAATCTAGGAAGTGTTTTCTTGATATGGTTTGATATCTCATATTTAGCCAACACTACCTTGCATGTGATTCA